CTCTACCAGATCCTCCACCTCTTTGATTAGTGCCAGTCACATTAAGGGTGACTTGACTCTTCAAATCTTCTTCAGCTAGTGGTTCCGATTTTGAAGCAATTCTGTCAATATGACTTTCTACCATACCTTTCAGCTCTGCAATTGATAAGAGCTTAGTTTTGTGTGACTCTGTGATCGAAGCCACCACATGGTCATACTTCATCGGCATAGTTCGAAGAACTTTTTCAACCATAGCACCATCTTCAATCGTATCTCCGTATAACCTCATATTATTCACCATATCAATAAGACGAGTGAAATACGTATCTATCGTTTCTGTAGAAGTCATCTCACAATTATCGTACAACCTTCTCAACGACTGCAACTTAGACTTCTGTGCCCGATCGACTCCTTTGTTTGACACCTTTAAGATGTCTCAAGCTTGCTTTGCTGTTTGAGCATGAGCTAATTGCCCAAAAATGGAGTAGTGAACACCATGGTGAATCTGTCCCAAGGCTAATTGATCTCGCCTTGTAGCAGCTGCATCAGCTCCTTCGGGTAGACCGGGATCAACAAAGCTCCAAAGATTTTGAGCTTTCAAATGTGTAGACATCATAATTTGCCAATAATTGTAATCGAGTTTCCCGTCCAATTTGGGACCCGACCATACAATATTGAAATTTGCAGCCATATTTCACTACGAACAATATCTCGGGGTTGAAAGGTTGATTGGCATTGATACCAAATGTAAGATATATTAAATATATATGTATATATATAATTGAGAGAGAAAGAGAGGAATAGGAAATGATGATCTTTATTGCACTTTAAATGCTTGTGTGATGCACACTATTTATAGCAAAGGAGAAATAATAATAAAGCTAAAAATTAAGAATGTATGCTCCATGTACTCCATGTAGTAATCCCACGTACACTAAGCCACATACTGCATACACACCACCCACTACTTAATTTAATTAACAAACTAATTATTTAATTAATAAATTAAATAACTCTTGGTTTAACAATTATAATAATAATATTATTATAACATGATATTACTTGGAATCTAGACCTTTGAAAATATCCACAAGCTTGCTACTAATAGATAAATAAATTAATTAAAAGATGGCTACACATGCCCAATGCCCATTAGGCTAGTACATGATGGATAATGAAGGTCAAATTAAAGCCCAAGAAACTTTTGTTTGAGAGATAGAGGTGATGATGTTCGAAAAGGGTAAGGAACCCTATTTATTGTTTCTAACACTAGAATCTGCGTAAAACAAGTGGACAATGTTGCTAGCTTCTTGTTTCCTGCCACCAATGTGCGGGGTAGGAAAGTTTGCCATGTATCCCAAGTCTCCCCATTTCCTCGCCCACATCCATTGCCATGATCGGGGGACCAATTTAAAAAATAAATTTTAAAGTTTACCTGCTTACCATCGTTTTTTTTTAATTTTTTTAAAAAGTTATTATTAAAATTTATTAAAAATTATTAAAAATGCCAACTCAACTGTCACGTATGCAGGTAACCTGCTAAAATTGATGGTAACTTGCTATCAGATGAAATTGCATACATTTGGACTGTTCAGTGGTCTAATTGGACTTTTTTTTTCGTTCAGTGGCCTAATTGTATTTTCAGGTTACGTTCAGTGGCCACTTTAAACCTTATTCCTATTTTTTATTATGTACATTTTTTATACAATTATGTACATTTTTTTTATACAATTATGTACATCCGAATCAGGAAATTTTTGTGTATTATGTTAATAGTTGATGTGAATTATGTTAAAAGTTTACGTTTATTATGTATTATGTTAGATTATGTGTATTATCTTTTAAAAAAGAGTATGTGCATTTTGTTATATAATTATGTACATTCATGTATACAATTATGTGTATTCTAGTATAACATTATGTACATTTTTGAACATGAGATTTTTTTCAAGGAAAATTAACTGTCAAACACTGGGTAGCGAAATTTCATAAAAAAATAAAATTGAAACAACGTCGTTTTGCATCTGGGCGCACAATGCAACGCGCGCCGTGGTGCAGGATATAAATTGCCGGTTTAAAATTCTTGACCCTAACCCTAAAATCTTGAGTTGTTAAGCTTAACAGATGAACCCAACTAAAACTTTTGATATTTTCAAAATTAACATTTTAAACTTTCAATCGTAAAAAAAACTAGCATATTTACTAGAGATGACAATTTGCCCCGTCCCCGACGAGGATCCCCGATTCCCGCCCCGATAGGGACTGAGATGTGAAAAATTTTCGAAAAACGGGGATGGGGATAACCCACCCCGTCCCCGAATAATTAATTAAAAATAAATAATATATTAAAATATATATATATATATATATATATATATATATATATATATATATATATATATATATATATATATATATATATATATATATATATATATATATATATATATATATATATATATATATATATATATATATATATATATATATATATATATATATATATATATATATATATATATATAGGGAAGGGATCATGTGCATTTGAGGCTTCCAGTGCGGTTGTGCGGGGTGGATGCACCTTAAGCATTAATCTGACGCACTTAAAGTACACAACACACGCACATTAAGCAAACAAATCTCACGCATGTTAAGCACAAGCCTCACACATGTTAAGTACAAGTCTCACGCATGTTAATCACAAAAACACACGCACCTTAAGTTTTAAAAAACAACTCACATTAAGTACACACTCACGCACATTAAGTAGAAACTCACGCATCTTAAGCACACGACTCACGCACATTAAGCACAAAACTCACATACATTAAGCATAAAACTCATGCACTTTAAAGTTTCAACAACAACTCATATTAAGTACACACTCACGCACATTAAGCACAAAACTCACGCACCTTAGGCACAATACTCACACACCTTAAGTACAAAACTCACGCACATTAACATTACACACTCACGCACATTAAGTACAAATCTCAAGCACATTAAGCACAAGACTCACGCACATTAAGTACAAAACTCACGCACCTTAAGCACAATACTCACACACCTTAAGTACAAAACTCACGCACATTAACATTACACACTCACGCACATTAAGTACAAATCTCAAGCACATTAAGCACAAGACTCACGCACATTAAGTACAAAACTCACGCACCTTAAGCACAATACTCACACACCTTAAGTACAAAGCTCACGCACATTAACATTACACACTCACGCACATTAAGTACAAATCTCAAGCACATTAAGCACAAGACTCACGCACATTAAGTACAAAACTCACGCATATTAATCAACCGCACAACTGCACGGGAAGCACTCAACCGCACTGAAACCTTTCATTATATATATATATATATATATATATATAATGCAAAAGTACTGTAATGCCACGACAGTACAGTATAATTGCATTACTTTTATATAATGCCCAATGAATGCTGTACCCACGCATGAACACTGGACAATTTTCAAACTCTATTTATATTTTAACATGCAAGATCCATTAATTCCTTTCTAATTCCAGGATAGGAACATAGTCAATAAAGAAGCAAATAAAACTAATTGAAATGTGAAATCTGCATTTGCTTAAAGATGATTAATTATCATGTTAGGCTTTGAAGTACCTAACACAAAGTAGATGTTCAAATTACTATGATAGATATGCTTTTTTTTTCAGGCCTTTAAACTGACTTTAAGCCCAGCCAGGCTAATTGTAGACTCAAGCTTGACCTAAACAAAAGCCTACATACAGGCTCAGATCCATGCTCAGGCTTTAAATCCCTATAGCAGGCCCAAGCCTAATTTTTAAAAGTCTAACTCGGCTCGGCCTATTTTCACCCCTAAGTGGCTCTAACGCGTCATCCCCTCCTTTTTAAACCCTTACCCCCCTTTATTCTAGCCCAGTTTTACTCTGACCCCAAACTATTTGCATCCTAATCCCTTGGACTTGATCCCATGTCTCAGTTCATAATTCATCTCTCTAGCATTTGTATCTCAGCCTCATAATTTTACTTCTTAGTTTAATCTATACCCCAACTCTCTCCTCTTTCAATCTAGACCAAAAATTACTCATGGGTTGATTATTTTTTGAGTTCGAACCCTAACTCCTTGACCCAATTGTCTTTGGTCTCAAACCCCATAGCTCCATCAATAATAACCAAGTGATTGGTCTTAGGAATGGAATATTAATTAGATATATAATGATTAATGTATAAAGTATGAAGGAATAAAGAATATATGAAGAGAAGAATGGGGGTGGGTGGGTACTGAATTACTGATGAAGGAGAGGGGCAGTTCGGATTAAGAATAAGTGTGAAAGGCACTGGACATTAGAAGAACAATAAATGAGAGCGTAAGAGGTGATGAGGCTTATGATAACCCTCATCATCGTCACGTCGTTTTTCCTTCACGTCTTCCCATAACACTCTCTGGCCCTACTCCCCCTCCCCAGAATTCCACGCCTCTTTTTCTTTTTCTTATTCTCGACTCAGGGATATAATTAAATAATAATTTATACTTAAATTATTACTTATCACATATCTAATTAAAATAAATATGTAAACTTTAAAAAAAAAAAAAAAAATCATTCATATTTCAATTAGAATAACTTATATTCTGTTCATATAAAATCTCGTATTCAAACATTATGATCTGCGTACAAGATGAAATGAGACAAAAAAAAAAAAAAAAAAAAAAAGTTGTACGAGTTAAAACATAAATAAGCAATTTGTTGTGTTCACGGCAGCATAAAAAGTTTGTCTCCTCTATCATCGTCTGCTTTTTCTTTTTCTTTTATTTTATTTTTGTTGGGATCCATGAATATTCTTCTCCGTAGCTAACCTTTATTTTAATCTCCGTAGCTCTCTTTTGTGCATTCAAATTTTTTTTTTTATTTAAATTTTTAATATTTGAAGTGAAGAGGGGGGTAGTATGTATCTGCAGTATGGTATAGTATAGTATATTAGTATAGTATGTACGACGTCAACGTAACCATCATCGTAGGTGTTTTTACCTTTGTTTCGATTTGAACCAACAACCCAAAATTTCTTTCTTTTCTGTCTCCATGTGTTAGTGTTCAATCTCTATCTCTGAATATCACCAAAAACGCCACCTTGTGTTCAGCTCCAAAGTCACCATTTCAACCTCTCATTTTTGCATCCCCATTTTTGCCCTATGAATGTGACCTTCAAACCCTATTATCCTCCATTATTTGTTTCCCTTTTCTACCCACCCTTTGTCTCCCTTTCTTCAACCCAAATTTTATAAGAAAATGTGGATGATGGGTTACAGCGACAGTGGAGATTTCAGCATGCCGGAATCCTTCAACAGCCGCCGCCTCCGCCCCCTCATGCCCCGTCCTCTCACTTCCTCCGCCGCCTCTCCCAATCCTTCTTGCGCTTTAGGCCGCATCCATGGAAATGATTTCGTCGCGTTTAATCACCATCTTGGTACGTCGTCCTTAATCTTCTTGCAATGCAATCCGGCCAGTTTGGTGTGAAATATATATATAAAGGTATGTTTGTTTAGCAGCTATGGCGGCGGAGCAAAGCAAGCGGGAATTCAATACGCACCAAGTTGTGGTGAGCTCGAGGTGGAATCCGACGCCGGAGCAGCTACAGACCCTGGAGGAGTTGTACCGGCGGGGAACGAGAACGCCGTCCGCCGATCAAATCCAACACATCACCGCGCAGCTCCGCAAGTACGGGAAGATAGAAGGGAAGAACGTGTTTTACTGGTTTCAGAATCACAAAGCGCGGGAGCGCCAAAAACGCCGCCGCCAACTCGAGTCCGCCGCAGCTGGTGGCGCCGCCACCGATAATGACCACCCAAACGTTAACAACACTAATTGCATGGAAAACACAGAAAGAAAAGAATCAGGTAATTAATTTATGCTCATTTACCCATCCACAATTCTGTCTCCTTTTTTTTTTTTTTTTTTTTTTTGAGGAATATATTTTTTAGCTGGAAATTACCTCCATGACCCTCTCCTATTTACCTATTTTCAAAACAACAAAAAAGCATTGTTGTCTGGTTGTTTGTTGTTATTGAAAATAAAAAAAGCTGTGTTTTCTATTCCGATTGTTGGCTGAGACTCAAGTAAAGGTGAAATCTTTTTGTTTTTCTTTATGTGAACACAACAGGGGCAAATAGGACAGGTTTTGAAGCCGATCAACAACTCACCAAGAATTGGCCATCCCCTAGTACACTTATTGCAGAGGTCCATACATTTCTTCTTTTCATTTCCCTCTAAAATTTTTTTTTTTTTAAATTTTTTTATAACCTAGAAGTGTACAAAATTATTGTGATAATGAAAAGGGAGATGGGCTTTAATTAGTTAATCACAAGCAGAAATGGTAATTATAAGCATATGATTAAAAGGTGGTGAGATATATAATGTGGGTGGTGGGAGAGGGGAGGCAAGAAAAAAAGGTGGTTTTGTTGGAAAACGAAAAATGTTCCAAAAGCTGGTTTACTTCCTTTCTGTCGGTGCTGCTGTGTGATTTGTAAGAACTCTATCCTGCCTATACATACACTACATAGCCAGCTAGCTATCTAGGGTTTATAGCCTCTTTATTTTGTGGGTTTTTTTTTTTTTTTTTTTTTTTTTTTGGGTGTGTTGATTATATTGCACTTAGGACAATTGATATGGGCACCCATGCATGTAGCGTTTCTTTATAGTGAAAAGGCATTGGTAGATTCAATCATATTTGACTTTCCTTTGTACCAAATTGTATATATGCTGTCCCAAATCAAGATATGATCTACCTTGGAACTTAAAAGACCTCAAACCAATCAAGTTGTCTAGGGTTATGAAACTGATACCATATCTATACCATTTCATTTTCATAAAAAATTGTGAAGCAGTACATAAGTTAGGATCATACTTTCATTTTTAAGTTAGATTTTGTGATAGAGTTAGAGTCTTGACCATTCTGATTGAGAGGCTAGTGCGGGGTGAGAAAAATCAAGCTGTTTGAGTGTTATATCCTTAACCTACTTTTGGTTCGATCTTTGTCTTTGGGTATGAAGCACCCTTAAATCTCCAAACCAACTGTCTCACCCAAAAGAGGTGCCTACAATTCAGCGAGGGGATTAGTCACTGTGTCCTATGGTAGAAACCCTGGGTAGACAAAAAAAAAAAAAAAAAAAAAAACACATCAAGAATTTGATTATTAATTTCATTTGATATTTGGTGGTCATGCATATTATATTACATATATATGTGTGTTGAAGATGTGTGAGGGGTTGGGTTTTGTGGTGATTAAAAGTTTTTGTTGGTTTAATTGATGAGCAGAAAAGTGGGTCAATACAAAGGGGAACAAAAGCAGGAATGATGGCAGAATGTAGAGCAGAAGGATGGGTACAGTTCGAGGATGGAGCAGAAATATTGCAACAAAGGAGGAGTCTGGACGAAAAGAATGCCACGTGGCTTCAAATGATGCAATTGTCATCTCCCTCTCCTCCTCCGCCACCACCTACCCACCACCACCACCACCATCTCATCTCCGCCACCCTCCCGGCGGCTTCCTCGTCCGCCCCCACCGCCGCGGTTGCAACAACCATGGACTACTACACCAAGCAACTCCTCAAGCTGCAGCCTCAAGATCATCATCGTCAGCATCATCTCAACTTCTTCCTAGACCTACCTAATTACAAAGATCATGTCGATAGCCACGGCGGCGAGTCCCAAACCCTTCAGCTCTTCCCTCTTAGAAGCGGCGGCACTGAAAATGAAAACGACAAGGACACGGCGGAAGCCGCCATGAACACCACCTTCGTAAACCCTCATTACCAGTTCTTTGAGTTTCTTCCGCTCAAGAATTGAAAAGTCCAAAAATTCCCAAAAGTAAAAAAAATTAATGGTTGAGATGGATTTGATGTAACAATTCATGGGAAGAATTGAGGATGATGACAATGAAAAGCTAGCTAGATTATAGTAGTGGTATTAGTAGTAATTTCATAGGTGTTAAACGTTGACAGTAGTGAGTAGGTCATGTGTTATCTATGTTTAGATTTGATATTTGGGTGTTCACTTTATGAGAGAGAGAGAGAGAGAAAAGGAGAGAGAGAGACAGAGAGAGATGAGAGTCCCAATGAGGTGGCTGTAATGGAATTTGATGTTCAAGGGTTTGACTGACTCAATGTTTCAAAATTGGAATATAATATAATAATGTTTAATCAACATTCCCTTCTTTAATTACTGTGCACTGTGAAACAAAATTGACAGTTTATGAAAAGGATATCTTGCCCTCTTCTTAGATTTAGGTTGTGTTTCAACTTAGAAAGGCTAAAAAAAAAAGTATATTTAGAAAAATAATTGGTATTTAATAAGTTTTAGTTTCATCACTAAAATTTATGGATTATATAGGGGTGCTAGGTGAGAACACATGCACTGGACAAAAATAAGAATCAATCACAACTGTCCATGTGTCCAGATTTAACGAATCAGATGTAATTTTAAAAAACGACGTGAAATTTTTGTAAATAACTCGAACTATGATATAAGCAAAATGTGTTATAAGTGCAAATAACTGGTGCAAATTGCAAGTAAAAAGTGCAAGTAAACTCATTTAAAAGTGCAACCATTTTCACTAAATAATACAAGTAAATTTACATTGTTAACATTGGTGCACATAATGATAACGTTGTTCACATTGGTGCACTTAATATATGGTATTCAGTGTACATTATTTGTTGTACTTTTAATACATTTTATTTGGACTTTGGCTATGCACTATATGAAACTGTTAGTTGCACTTTTGACACAATTTACTTGCACTTCAAAATTCAATTATTTAAGAAAATACCTTCACATTAAAAAAAAAAAAAAAAAAACAACAGTGTTCATGATCTGTTAGATCTTGATATCATCATATAAATGTTATATAAAGAATCCCTAATGTTCAATATATGCCCACACAGCAGCCTTAAATCTCCAGGCCAGATGTCACACCTAAATGAGGTGTCTACAATTCAGCCAGTGAATTAGTCACTGTGTTCGACGGTAGAAATCCTGTATATACCCAAAAATATATATGCCCACACATTCATTATTATCGCATCATTTAAAAGTATTTAAAGTGCAATTAATTTACATACATATATTATATTCATTCTGCTGATAAAATCAAATGTTATTATTTTCATATAGAGAAACAAAAAAGAACTTAACAAACACGGTTAAATAAAATGTGACCAATCCATATGCACCTTATCAGTTATTAGATGTGCCTTGATCTCATCTGGTAGACCGGCCACAACTCCTATACCGAAAAAATGTCCCTAGTCACATACATTGCCATCCAATCTATAGAAATTTTGTCTTTCTATTCGATGAATATGGAAAATATGACAACTCTAACCTCATAATATTTTATTTGATTTTATGATATAGCTACATTTTGAATCAAATTAAATATTCATTAATTTTATTATTGTGTATCTAGCAATATAAATATCTATACACACAAAAGAGACAGATTAAATACAAACCAACACTCAAGTGCAAACGTACATAACACAGTACTACAGAGTGCATTCGATGATACATAAAAGTAAACTCAAACTGTATGTGATTCTAAAACATACACCACATGAAACTACAAAAGTGTACTCAATTATATGTAAAAGTGCAGATGATTGCACTTTTAATTTACACATCATTGAGTGCACTTTGTAGTATTGCTTAGTGCACTAACAGAGCGTTTGGTTGGAGGGATTTTAAATTCCCTTTCCACTTAATTCCCACCTAATTCCAAAGGCCATTAAATTCCGTAGTTTGGTTGGAGGGAATTGCAATTCCCCCATTTTCATGGAATTAAAATCCCATGTCCCTCCTGGTATTTTAATTCCTGGGAAAAAAAGATAGTGATGAGTCAAAATTACCCCTTCCTTTTTTAACCTAAAATTAATGTCTAACAACAATAATGGACATTTTTGACTTCATACTACTTATTCCCTTTCAATTCCCATGTATACCAAACATTGAAATTGAAATTCTCAGTAATTCTATTCCTATCAACCAAACACTGGAATTTAAATTCCCACTTTATTCCCAGTCATTCAACTCCCATGGAATTACAATTCCTTTCCCACATAATTCCCCCCTCCAACCAAACGCCCTGTAATTTGTTTTTTAATAATTACTAAACTACCACAATATTATTTACATTATTTCAAAATTGTAGATCTTTTCAAATCAACGGTTGCAATATGTTCTTAATTTTCTTCTAATTAACAATGATTTGTTCTTAATTTTCTTCTGATTAACATTTTTTTTTTTAGGGAAGAAAAGGGGAGGTTACCCAAATATACTAATCAATTACAAATGGTGCTCAGATAGAACGCACCCTCCATTCTCATGAGATCACGAACCACCATCGGTGGATAAATGAAATCCATCCACTCGTAGTGCTCCCTCGGCGCGGCTTTCGGTAACTCGTCCGCAACCCTGTTTCTCTCTCGGGGGATATGCTCAACGGTGACTGACCAGTCCTTCCCTAGCCACTCTTTACACCATTTGACGAGCGTGCCTATATATATACTATTACTACTCATCTTGAAAATCTACAGGCAGTTGATATATGTCCAAGTGACTTAACAAAAGAAAAAAATAGTTTGCCAATTGATGAAGCAGCAAGGGAATTTTATAGGAGCATAACAGAAAGGCTATATGGGGGCACCAATATCCATCAGTAATTTACACTTCCAATGGACTGACATTATTATTTAAGACACCCCATCACACCCGTGCCCAGTGATGGGATAGGAGAATGTATACATAGCACCCTAGACAACAGCTTGCTGGCTTTTAGTATACCTATATTTCCAACAGATAACTAGCTTAGCTGCTGCATCTACTATACAATTAATTAATTATTCAAAACAAAATTTAATGGTACCATATAATAATAGTGTTAGTTGTAAATACATTTTGTACGTGGTTAATGAAATTATATGTATATTCGTTTTTTTTTTTTTTTTTGAATGCTACTGGATCTATTATAATGTAGTATCTATTCATATACTTTCTCAACCTACTGAAACACAAAGAACTAATAACGCCCCCACTGAGACTTAAACTCACAACCTTCCAAATGAAAATCCAACCCGAGTTCCATTAGACCACATAGTCTTGGTATATGTATATTTTTTAATTTTATATCAATAATACAAAATACATGCACAAGCGTTGAAAAAATTTCTAAAAAAAAAAAAGATTACTTGTATATTTGGGTAGCAGAAAATAGAGGGAGGAAATGAAAATTTAGATTTATAAAACCTGACAAAGGAAAACAAAGAGTGCAAAATATAAAAAATAAAGTTAGTAAGCGAAAATACGATTTTGATATCCTCCGTCAGTCTCAACTGCACATCATGCATTGAATAGGATTTGAATGAATTCGACGGAACTTGCTCTGATATCAATTGTCAATTCTAATATCTATCATTAGAGTTAATATCTCGAATGGTCCTTTGAGTATTAGGAGTTTATCACTTGTAACCACCAGTAGTCCTAAAAGAATCACGGGTGGTTATCTTTTAAAACATGGAGGACCATTGGAGGTCATTTTAAACTCAGATGACCACAGTTGGTAAACCCCTAATACTTGGAGGACCATTGGAGGTATTAACTCCCTATCATTATGCTAAAAGCTATAACTAGTAGCAATTAAAAGTGTAATATAGCTTTATTTCTTTATATTTGTGTGGAAGCTAGTACCACGTTTTGATAGCAGGATATTGGACTTAGTCTTTTGAGCATATATGTGCCTAAGAAGTCTCGACTTTAATTATTTACCCTGTAAATTTAATCACTAAATTTTTAATAAATTAAGTGTCACATTTAGTCGTTAGATTTTAACGAAGCATTAGTGTAAAGACCAAATTTGACACTTTACTAAAAATTTAAGAACAAAATTTACACTATAGTCACAACTAAAAATTTTAAAAATATTAATTTTTTTTTTTTTTTATAATTTTACAAAACATGTTATAGCATACGTACGAAGAGGTTAGAAATTCAAGATGCTTTCAATTCATCCACATTCCACAACATCCATCCCATGTTTTCATGCATGCATGTGGTAGACAAAAGGAATTAAAGCCATAATAATTAAATTAAAGTCTCTTGCTAATTCCACCAGCTTTTCGTTCTTTTATTTACTACATACTATCCTCCATCCTGTACGTAGCATTGACAAACTTTCAGCATGGCTTGATTATTAATTACAATATTAATGCACTTTTTCATTAAGCCTTGCTAACTACTGGCCGAACATAAATTTCTACGGGGACCAACTTGGGATTGATGATGTTTTTATTGAAATTTTGTGTGTGATGGAGCCATTGCTTGTACCATACAGACATCAAAACCCAGATGTCCTTTTTGGAAAAATTCAACGTTGGCCGGTTTTACTTGGGCAAGGGAAACCACTGCACCATCTTTTCTTGTCTTACATAATTTATACTAACGTTGGTGTTAATTAATTATATTTATTCTTTTTTTTTCTTCTTATTGTTACTGCCGGCCGGCTCCTGCACATATTTAATTCTTTATAGAGCTAGGGGAATAATTAGTCAACCCTCTGCTAATCAAAACCATTTTATAAGTTTTTGGTTTTGCGGTAATATAATTGTTATTTTGAAGATGGGGAAAACCTGTGTCACTCTTTAAGAGTGTGTACTCAGTAAACTGGATTATGCCTAGTTACTACATAAAGGTGTGCACAAGATAAATCAGTCAATACCTAGGTATAGGCCGTTCTCGCTAGAAATTAAACTTGTAGTCTTATGGTTACCATATTAACAACCAGACCAACTTAGTTGAGGTTAGGGTAACCCCGTAATATAATTGTCTTATATAAAATGATGATAAATAATATTCACCTGAAACATTAATTTGTTTAATATGGGCAAATTATATTATGGACCATGGTCCGTTATTATAATATTATTATAGGTTACTTAAAAATTTGGTGTATCAAGTATAATTTCATGTTCATTATAATAGTACTATTTGTTCATTAAAATGGTATCAATTCGCCAATTATCACTTAAACATAGTATTTTTTATTTTTGTATAAATAAAATCAATGTTAAGAAAATAGAGTTAATTCTAGGAATGATCCAGTGACTATTGATATTTATTAATTTTTATCATCGACTTTCAATTGAACTATAAA